CTACTGACCCCAGGTCCTCGGGCAGTGCCCGAGTACATGAATGGTCAGTCCGCCCCTGGACATAACAGAAAACTCTCTTTCTGTAAAAATTCAGAACTAACATAAACTTATATTTGCATCCATTTTGTATTCAGACATTATATTTGAAATATCAGAATTTCTCTCACACTACTTACTGTCATGATGCTAGTGCAGTTAATGCAAATTTTTCTTCAGCTAATGCTCATTCCAGTGCAGCTAATGTTCATTCCCGTGTAGCTAATGCTCATTACCGTGCAGCTAATGCTCATGCACGTGTATCAACACCTAGCCAAGCCCAAGCTAATATCCAGCGTGCACTGACACATAGTCACATTTCTTCACATGTCTTTTCACATTGGTGCCAAGCTGCCTATTTCAAGGAGACTCTGCTATGTACTAATCGCTGGATGTTCTTCAGGTTCCTTTGATCTGTGTTCCTGTTTGTACCGACTGATTTTCCATTGCTGACCTGCCTTGCTCCTGGCCTTGCTCCTGACCTTGCTCTGTGGATTATGAATTCTGACCTCGGCTTGCCTTAGACTATTCTCTGCCTGATCTCCTGGTGCTGAGTTCAGCTTACCTCTGACTACTCTCTGCCTGATCTCCTGGTGCTGACCTCAGCTTACCTCTGACTACTCTCTGCCTGATCTCCTGGTGCTGACCTCGGCTTACCTCTGACTACTCTCTGCCTGATCTCCTGGTGCTGACCTCGGCCTACCTCTGACTACTCTCTGCCTGATCTCCTGGTGCTGACCTCAGCTTACCTCTGACTACTCTCTGCCTGATCTCCTGGTGCTGACCTCGGCTTACCTCTGACTACTCTCTGCCTGATCTCCTGGTGCTGACCTCGGCCTACCTCTGGCTACTCTCTGCCTGATCTCCTGGTGCTGACCTCGGCTTACCTCTGACTACTCTATGCCTGATCTCATGGTGTTGACTTCGGCTTACCTCTGACTACTCTCTGCCTGATCCCCTGGTGCTGACCTCAGCTTACCTCTGACTACTCTCTGCCTGATCTCCTGGTGCTGAGTTCAGCTTACCTCTGACTACTCTATGCATGATCTCATGGTGCTGACCTTGGCCTACCTCTGACTACTCTCTGCCTGATCTCCTGGTGCTGACCTCGGCTTACCTCTGACTACTCTCTGCCTGATCTCCTGGTGCTGACCTCGGCTTACCTCTGACTATTCCCTACCTAATCTTCTGGTGCTGACCTCGGCTTGCTACTGGATCTCGTTCTGCTTTCTAAGCTGGTACTGATGCCATCCTGCCTCCTGACCACGCTTCTGCCTCACTGTGTATGACCCTGGCTCACCTTGACTACATCCCTGACTGTGGCAGTCACCTGCTATCAAGCTATCGGCACTCGTGTTTCTTTGAGCCTTGCAGCTCTGTCACTACATTCAGGGGTGCTCAGACCAGAGCCACAGGGGAAGCCCTCTTGTCAACTCAGCTTTAACCATGGTACATGGCACTTACAAAGAACACCATTTACAAAACAATTGTATATTCATTTATACTGCTAATATTACAGGTCCCTCCCTGCTATGAAATGATTAAAAGGGATCAGGCAAATTAATCAATTTATTATTAAACAGATAAAGTAAAAAAAGCTTTGTACCTGTTTTAAAATGTTGTATTTACCCTCTCCTTCTGTGAGGTGCCAGTCATCAGCAAGACAAAGAAAAGAGTGGATCTCCCCAATGTGGATACAGACATCAACAAAAAGTTTACAGAGGGTCTCGCTTTTTTCCAATCTATTCAAAGATGAAAAATCGGTTCTCCTGGTGTTACATTTTAAAGAGTTTTTAAAGCTCAAACATGAAATATGAACAAAGAATATCCCTCAATAGTGTGCAAGTGTCTCAATTAAGAGCACTAAGTGTAATTTATGCCTGCTGCTCCATTCTTCTGCTATGAGCATGAATCACTTCTGACAAGTTCTCCTGACACCAAGAGAAAAACAGTGACCAGATTGACAGCCTCAGCTCTGTTCTTGTGTGCTGTGTGGAGGGGGGTGTGTCTCTTCCTTCCAATCAGCTCTCAGAGCTTTCCTCACTGAACTCTGCAGAGTGTAACTTTAGCTCCCCACCCCCTTTTTCTGAAATTCCAGAAAAGCTTTACAATTCAGCTACAGATGTAGAGAAGAGAATAATACAGATAGACAAGTATAATTTCTGTTGGATAATTTGTTTCATCTCTGTGTATCACCTGTGGCCAGTCACTTCACTAAGTATATGTAAGGATTTACAACAACTTTAAATATAAAGGCTGCATTGGTTTTGTTTTTGAGTTTTTACCTTTATTTTCACCAACCACTAACACACACCTGTCTGCTCATTTTTGGTGCAATGTGCAATGCTGCACTGCTACAAATGTGTTAACGTGTATATGTCACTAGTAATCATATATATTAGGCATACTGTTTTCCACTTGTGACACAAAATAAAATACAAGAAGCATTAAATGTGTGCAAAAACTTAATAGATCAATAAAATATAACAAGTATTAATACTCAGTCCATAAAGTCCACACTGTGATATTTACATTATAAATCTCTTGTTGATAGTGATTATCCAACACCCAGACCCTAAATGCTGTGCTTTTCAACTTCAATACAATAAAAAGCCACCTCAGTACTCACAGAAGTCTCACCTCCAGATTGGTATCATAATGCATGTATTTGATAATTCATCTAGCTTCCACCAGTACTTCAAACCTCCTTCACCTCCAGACCACTAGGGTCTCACCGTTAGTATTTCCCTTGGTTTCAATATTAGGGGAATGGTACCTTTAGGGCTCTAAGGCACAGGTGTCAAACTGGTGGTCCTCCAGCTGTTGCCAAACTACAAGTTCTATGAGGCATTGCAAAATTGACAGTTACAAGCCTAACTCCCAAAGCTGGAGGCATGATGGGACTTTTGCAACAGCTGGAGGGCTGCCAGTTTGACACACCTGCTCTAAGGGATTCATGCTGCTGCATTTTCCTTGCTCATGTGGGAGAAAGATACCAATACGCCTCTTATGGTACAGTATTTTGAAATCATGATAATTTATGAAAACTAGATTGCACTTACACTTTAAAAAGTTTTGAAACACTTCAAATACAGAGATCTTCCTTTTGAATGACGTCACTTCCGGTCTGTGTCTGTCTTTGCTCGCGCCCTTCACGTTATGTCACAGTTACATGACTTCATCGGGGGATCCTGAAGGATCACTGTGCTTTGGCTACCCTCAATATGCAGTTCCATAAGCAGTAGTACCTTGAACATTGGGAGATCATTGTGGGGCAGCGCAAACTCATTCGGCCATATGGATCTCTTAATAAGTATCTGTAATAAGGACTAATTCGCTTTTTACTTTTTCTTAGCTTCAAACTTAGCTGACACAGCTACTTTTGACACATGACACAAGGGAAACTACATACTTGTAGAAAGAGTGTTGAAATTAGGAAATGGGTGAAATTTAAAACAGACAAAGAATATTGCAAAACTAATAGGGTTTATGAATGGCAAACCCAATTTTTCAGCGTCAGAGATTTCAAATGACCATTTCTAGGAATACAAATAGAGATATGAGTTCTAAGTGTACCATTCTTTCCACAGCTTCGTTAATTGGCTCTACTGCCCATCCTCTTAATCTTTTGGGGAGTGGGGGAATGTGATCCAATAGTGGACCATTGGCACCTAGATCAGCCTTGTCTATATGCTTATTAGGCTTACAAATGAAAAGTAATGGTGTATCACCAACATATTTTTCTGTAGTTGAACTATTAGTAAAAAATATGTATCTAATTTTTTGGCAGAACTAAGATCAGACATACACCTAGAAATTATACTAGAGAACAGGTTCAGTAAAGCCTTTACAACCCTTGTCTACTTGGTGAGATATCATTATCAAACCAGCAGATAAGTGAGGTTCTATTGTTGTGCTCAATTGGTGCAACTATGAAAATTCATTTATGAGACAATTATCTGATACCTATGTATATTTTGCAAACAGGTGCAGTGAACAGCACAACGGTGTGGATAGAGTGCAAAGCAATAAGACCATCCCACTGGTTGTATATAGAAAAATCTACACAGGGATTGCTGCACATAAAATTTATTGAAAATCAATAAAAGTTACAAACATTGCAAAAACTGCATATTATGTTCTCAAAAATTCAACAGTTTAATTTTTGTATATGAATATGTGTATATATACAGTATACACTTTATTGTCAAAAGTATTGGGACGCCTGCCTTTACACGCACATGAAGTTTAATGGCATCCCAGTCTTAGTATGAAAGGTTCAATACTGAGTTGGCCCACCCTTTGCAGCTATAACAGTTTCAAGCCTTCTGGGAAGGCTGTCCACAAGGTTTAGGACTGTGTCTATGGGAATATTTGACCATTCTTCCAGAAGCACATTTGTGAGGTAAGGTACTGATGTTGGACGAGAAGGCCTGGCTCACAGTCTCCGCTCTAATTCATCCCAAAGGTATTTTATCGAGTTGAGGTCAGGACTTTGTGCAGGCCAGTCAAGTTCCTCCGCCCCAACTTTGCTCATCCATGTCTTTATGGACTTTGCTTTGTAAACTGGTGTGCAGTCATGTTGGAACAGGAAGGGGTCGTCCTCAAAATGTTCCCACAAAGTTGGGAGCATGAAATTGTCCAAAATGTCTTGGTATGCTGACGCCTTGAGAGTTCTCTGCACTGGAACTAAGGGGCCAAGCCCAACCCCTGAAAAACAACCCCACACCATAATCCTCCCTCCACCAAACTTTACACTAGGCACAATGTAGTCAGGCAAGTACTGTTCTCCTGGCAACTGCCAAACCCAGACACGTCCATTGGGATTACCAGACAGAGAAGTGTGATTCGTCACTCCAGAGAACACGTTTCCACTGCTCTAGAGTCCAGTGGTGGCATGCTTTACACCACTGCATCTGACGCTTTGCATTGCACTTGGTGATGTAAGGCTTGGATACAGTTGCTTGGCCATGGAAACCCATTCTATCTCTATGAAGCTCTCTCAAGGCAACACAAAGTTTGGAGGTCTTTAGCTATTGACACTGCAGACAGTTGGCGACTTCTTCGCACTGTGCGCTTCAGCATGTGCTGACTCCACTCTATCATTTTACATGGCCTACCACTTCGTGGCTGAGTTACTGTTTTTTCCCAGTTGCTTCCACTTTGTTATAATATCACTAACAGTTGACTGTGGAATATTAAGTAGCAAGGAAATTTCATAGATGGACTTATTGCACAGGTGGCAACCTATCACGGTACCATGACTGAATTCACTGAGCTCCTGAGAGCAACCCATTCTTTCACAAATGTTTGTAGAAGCAGTCTGCATGCCTAGGTGCTTAATTTTATACACCTGTGGCCACGGAGGTGATTGGAACACCTGAATCCAATGATTTGGAGGGGTGTCCTACTACTTTTGGCAATATAGTGTGTGTGTGTGTGTATATATATATATATATATATATATAATTTTTTTTTTCCATTTTTGTATATTTCTGTTTTGTTTGTTTGTTTTTTATTTATTTGTTTTAAATGGTGTTTTAAAAGACTTTTTCTGTTTCATGTTCTCTGCGGAACTTTTTCCTCCATGTTAGTAGGAAATGAATATCACTTATAACTGTTTCTCAGAAACAATTAAAAAGAAGAAACTTTGTACCACATGTTATATATGCATATACTCATATGCATATAGGGGAACCGATCTCTCCATGTTCCTCCTGCAGCCGTTGAATCCCTGTGGGAGGGAGGGGAGGAGAAGGAGGCATTCAGCGGCTGCAGGAGGAACATGAAGAGATAGATTCCTATGTATGTAGCCGACCCCGCCGCTCCTCCTATCCAGGTTCTTTTGGCTTCACTCCTTGTGCTCTCCCCCCTGACCCCTGTGGCTGCTGCCTGCAGTCTGCATGGCTCTGAGCCAAAAGAGTCAGCCCTGACAGTTCCCCCCTCCCTTTCCCTCAAAGACTGGGCTCAGAGGGAAGGGCCCTGAAGGATGTAGTAATGCCACTGTCTGTGATATATAAACATGTATTGTGAAATGTTATTCCAGCTATGTTCCAGCCTGAGGAAGGGCATTAAGCACTTTGCCAGAAATTGTTGCATTTTGGGGAAAATAATATGCAGTTTTTGCAATATTTGTAACTTTTATTGATTTGAAATAAATTTTAAGTGCAGCAGTCCCTGTTTGGATCTTTTATGCATAGTTTCCTGTACAAATTATTCCTACTGCTTTGGTGCAAAATAAGATGGAATGTCTAACAAATGGAGCTGTAAATCATCATATTTTGATAAAAACCTATTTTGAAACTATAACCTATTTTATTACAAAGTTTCTGGTTATTTTGGTTATTTATATCCTCCTGTAGCTACACAAGGATCTTATTAATCTTCCTGGGAAACCCATAGGGGTTGATTTACTAAAACTGGAGAGTACAAAATCTGGTGCAGCTCTGATAAGACACAAGATCATATATACACAACACTTCTGATTCTTTACATCATGTTAAATATGTTGCAGTTGATGCCGATTGCATGCTGGTCACTTGCGATATTTCCAACATACTAATATACCACATGATTTAGGCACATTGGTATGCCAGCAGTTATTGAAGTCCCATTGAGATAATGTTCCTTTTAGATCTTTTGGAGATAGTTTTTAGAGTACAAAATTCAAGGATCAGAATTACTTGCAGTTAAAAGGTGCTTCTATGGGTTCACATGTCATCCTTCCGTATTCAAACTCGTTTATGAATATGGTGGAAATGTCTTACATATTATCTAATATGTTATTTCAAAATTATTGTTTATGGTATCCCTTTATCGATGACATTTTTGCGGTATGGAGGAGTGACAATGAATCTTTGTTTTTGTTTGACAGATATCTAAATTATTTGATCCCAGGTTTGGGGTTCAATATGACATAAGATAAGGTATCTATTTCTTTTTTGGATACATGGGTATCAATTTAGGGAGATAGACTTGTGAAAGATTAATTTACTAAACTAACTGATTGCAACCAATATCTCAATTTCACAACCCCCCCCCCCCCCAGTCAGTTTTTGTTGGTTCAAAGGGTACTCGTTAGGAGACTAGATGAAATGGATAATAGATTAAATGTGGGCAGATATGCTCCTAGTATTCTTAAAAAAGAATGGTCATGTTTATGGATGGCAGGGATAATATTAGTGAAAATAAGAGAGTGGCAATTGTTACTCAGTTGAAGCTTTTTTCTTAAAATATTTATGCCATTATTAAATACATATGAAGATATTAGGTGATAATTATTCAGGAGTTGCAGAATTTGCATATCCCTTGTTTCCATTTTATAGAAGAGTTAAACAATCTCAAACTATATTGTGCTATCGGATTGCTCAGCGATTACTAAATCTGTTGAAATGTTTATGAGACCTCGCAATACTGGTTTCTTTTACTATTTGAATTGTGTCCAGTGATTAAAGGAACTTTTTCTACCCACATTTAGAACACAGGATTTTGATCAGAGGGTATTATAATGTATGTGTCAGACAAGTTTTATTGTGTATCAGTTAAAATGTCCATGTGCATATTACTATACTGAGGACACGAAGGAAAAAAGAAAGTAAAGGGAAGGTTTGCAAAACACAGACACTTGATTAGAGATACATACAGTATGTACAATTACTGCTTGCACAATATTTTGTAGCATGCCCTGATTTAGTCAGGGAGGAAGGAAAAGAGAAAGTAAAGGGAAGGTTTGCAAGACACAAACACTTGATTAGAGATACATATGTACAATTACTTTTTTCACAACATTTTGTAGTATGCCCTGATTTAGTCAGGGAGGAAGGAAAAGAGAAAGCAAAGGGAGGGTTTACAAGACACAAACACTTGATTAGAGATACATATGTACAATTACTGGTTGCACAACATTTTGTAGAATGATCTGATTTAGTCTCACAAGTGAAGTTTATGATAATTGATCATGTTCCAAAAAACAGATGGGGTGGTGATATAGAAATGTTATAAAGAAAAAAGGGATATGTTGGATTGAACATTTGGATACTTTACAACCTCAAGGCATTAATTCAGATTTTGATTTGTATTTATTTTTTAAGTGATAGTTGGTGATAATTATATGTATATAATTTTTCTTTTATGATTTAGTTATTTTTTATGTATTTTAGTATCTATGTGCTTTCTCATTCAGGAGTGAGGCATATCCCATGCAGGATTCTCTGCTGATGCATGTGTCTTCAATTTTCTGAGTAATGGTGATTAATTACTTCCTATCTAGTTCCCTTGTATTTATAAATGCTGAAGCTTTGTAACCTTATTGTGCAGTGTTCTCAGCTGGAGGAAGGACATGATGTCTGAAAGCTTGCTTTGTGATGAAACACTGATTGTGATTTTATGCACATTATGATTATTATCCTCTGGATTAAAGAAAACAGAATCGGGGTGCTGCAGACTGGGCTTTATTATTAGTTGTTCATGTGTACACATGATGGTGTTGACAGTGCATCTGGAGATCTACTCCTGAAAAAATTTTCCCTAGCTGTTTTTTTATGGCTACTTTCAAAGGTGCTACCATCTTTCCCTATCTTCCTATGGCCATTGCCATCTTCCTGTGGCCTATGGCCAGGTAGACTGAATGTCTTTGTCATTTAGCCACTCCACCTTTTTTTTTTTAAATCATTGTTTTGTTTTGTTTGCGGATGCATTTGTTAATTGAAGAATTTGTTTCAGATGCATTTATTATTAGACTCTGTTTGTTTTTGGAATTCATATTGTATCTTCCGTATTCTGCTTGTTTAATTCGGGATAGTCTGGGTGTTAAGAAGCAGGTGGTTGCCGCATCCTTAACAACCATGGCTCATCTGCTGTCATTGGGATTCCCTACTGTCAGCAGAATGTAAACAAAAAAAGTTCTGGTTAATTTTTTTTTCTTTTTTAACAGTGTGGGGTCCCCCCCAATCCATACCAGGCTCTTCAGGTTTGGTATGGATTTTGAGGGGAACCCCCACACCAAAATAAAAAAACAGCATGGGGTCAAATAAAAAATGCCTATTTTCTGGTATAATAGGCAAGGGGTTGTGAAAAAAGCACTGTCCTAGGCGACATGTACAAAGCAGCTAACCTTTTTTAATTTCATTCAGCCATGAGCAGTGGCAGTGTTTTTTTTTAAATGCTTAAATATGAAAATGCCCAATTCCTATAACCTTTTTACTGCCACCAAAATAAAAACTACATTGGTGGCTTTGTGGGGGTTTTCCAGAGTGTGCACAAATCTGGCAAATCAGTCATCAGTTGTCCATTCACTGATCTCTCCTTCCTGATACTGACATGGAAACAATGTGTAAACATCACTTAAGGGTCCTGGTGTCACTGTCAGACAGTAAAAGAACCATTTTTTTTTAGAATAAACCCACAAATCCTGCTGACCAGTGCAGGTGGATGTATACCTGGAACCAATTGCTCTCTCAGTGGTTTAGGCAGGATCACAAAGAAGTGGCAACATAGTTTCAAAAGCAACCGGCAGAGAAGAATTGCCTCATAGTGTACATTACATTACAGTGTAAAGTAAGAGCCTTGCTGTTGATGCCTGAGTGGGATGGTGTGGGAGTGTCACTGTGACAGTGAGAACACCTTGCCTGCCATTGTGGCCATTGTTATTTTTCTATGCTTTTTAGATACATGCTTCGTCTGTGAGTATGTTTTTATTATTCTTTCACTCCTACAATAAACCTTGGATAATGCACTAGGTGTGTGCGCCACCTGTTTTCTTTCTATCCAGTGGCTGATTTCCCCGTCTGAGGAGGGCTGCACCCCTGAAGCATTCCTTTGGTTGTTGCTGTCCTGGTATCCTTGGCTTCCATTTTGGCTGTGCATATCCTGAGGCACTGGAGAGTACATACGATATGGAGTAAGAGTAGCGTAAGGCGTTGAGCCACTGGAGAATTGTATAGGATGTTTGGATGTCCTCCCAAGCCAGGATAGGGGGAGTTTTAGAGAGCATCAGTTTATCCTGTAAGACATTGTAAAAGTGTGAGGTACCTTGAGGAGATTGCTCACAGAATTGCCAGATTGTGGAAGGAATCTGGATGCTAGGGTGAGAAGAGGCCAACGTAAAGTGTCTTATGCTAAACAGCTTGAAGAGTTAAGGTACTCTATATTCCTCCTGCAGATCCTCCATGCTTTGGAGTTTATCACCTGTATAGAGGTTATCTACCCAATACAGATTGTATCAATACCAATGTGTCGGTTTCAGGTGTAGCAACAATGATTACAACATTTTAATCTAGACAAAGTCAATTGTTTTAAGCTCAATCACTGATTTTAAAATGATAGAGGTAT